TTAGTTACAGTAGTAATTATGGCCAGTACTTACGGCTTAGAACCTTAGTTACAGTAGTAACTGTGGCCGGTGCCTAAAAGTGTCAGCCAAACGGCTGACTAGATAATGACACCACTAGATAATATAATATTGGGAGGATGAAATCCTCCTTAATGGCCACACATGCAGAGCACACAGCACACAGTGAAGATTGTTCTCTGCATATCGTCCTAGTGCTAGGAGTCTAGTACTAGGAGCAGTAAATACAACGATATAGCGCTACTGCAACCATACCATGCGTTTACCGCTGAGTTAAATAATTAAGCTTAACAGTACATGCAAGGTGTTAGCCAAGCGGCTGCTGCTAACAAGCAAGCAACCAAGTCAGAACACAATGTTAAGACCAGATAATTAGCTTTTAAGAAAGAGAACAGCCCGCATAGAACCGTAGGCCATGGTTACAGTAGTAACCGCACATGCGGAGCACACAGCACCCGCAGTGAAGATGTTCTCTGCATATCATCCTAGTGCTAGGAGTCTAGTACTAGGAGCAGTAATACAACGATCTAGCGCTACTGCAATCAAACCCTATGTTACCGGGAGCGGGAGCACTGCCCTCACCGGCTGAGTTAATAGTTAAGCTCAACAGCAAGGTGTTAGCCAAGCGGCTGCTGCTAATAATCAAGCGACCAAGTCAGAACATAAATGTTAAGACCAGATAATAGCTTCTAAGAAATAGAAAGTACTTACCTTACTCTCTGCATCTAAACGAAAAACGGGTTAAATTGAATGAGGGACACAGCCAAAGCTGGGACTCAAATGCTAATGATAGCTCGGGCACAACGCCACAAGCAGAACTTTCAAAAGAGCATAAGGGCAACTTTATGGGAGAGGAAGCGGGAACACTGTCGTCACCAGAAAGTCTAAGCCAAACAAAAAATAAGACAGCAATCAGGACAACTTGGCTGGGAGAGGGTGCGGGGACACAGCCATCACCAGCAACAAGCTGACACCAACCTGTCTGTCGAGGCTCTGCACAGCGCACAGCCGGCCACAGCTCCTGGAGGACGCGTTAACGACCCGTAGCTCCGACTGTCAGTCACGAAGCTGCACGCGGCCAGCTGCTTGCAGAGAAATCCCTCAGATCAAACGTTCAAACCTGAACGCTGTAGGCTACAAAAATGTAGCCGCGGTACCCTCGCGCAGCGAGAAGATGAAAGGAACAGATCCTCTGACGACACCGGCTGATATAGCCGGTGTCACGTGGGTCACAGGTGACTTTGTTGGTATTGGTACTCGAGCTGCGCATGCGCGCGATGGACATATCCAGTGCTGAAAGCACCGCCTCTGGCGGTCAGTAGGGACGAAATAGAACTCATACTATGCAGAGATAATGTATGAGAAACCAATCTGAGTTTGGAAAATTGCACAGTATTTTTCTCTTGTAATATCCCTCAACAATGGTATTATGATCAGTAGAAAGGACCATGCAATGGGACCTTTAACACACACAGGCCGTGTAGCAATGTCATGATACTGTCATGAAGCTATGGTAACCTCTCCTTAGAGCGTGTGGAATGAAGGATTCAACAAAGCAATGTGCTAGGAAATCTAGATCTCATATAATAAAAACAGTTATTCTTAATTCTGTTCTTCCAGCAGTATAATGAAGGCTCCAATTAAAACCTTTTAATAAACACATATATTTCCATTAGCCTTTTTCTTTGCTTCAAACTACCATGTTGTCTTTCTATCTAAAACTATATTTTTCTCGATGAGCAGCTAATTATCCATCCACAAAGCGTCTCAGAGCAGTGTCTCCAGCTGCAGTGAAGTGCAGGTTGCCAGGTTTTGGCTTTGGTATTTTTGCTTATTTGTTTGAAAGCATCTTATGGCGCATTTCCACTGCAGCGGGTAGCCCCGTTTAAGCGTCCTTAACCGTCCTCAAGCGGCCAGGCCAGTTTTTGGTGGCCTTTCCATATAGCCTAGTACCGGCTAGCGGGTACTTTTTCCGGCCCCATAAAATCGTGGTTCTATCAGACCAGGGCCAGGGCTGAACTAGTGACGTCAACACTCTCGACTGCTGATTGGTCAGAGAGAATCGTCACAAGATCGCGCGCGAGTTCATCCCTAGCGTCGCATATATATCTAGAAGCAAGCTTGCAGCATTTTTATAAACAGCATTTTGTAAACGGATGAGCTACAAAAATGGCTACGTCTAATAAGAAAAGCACACCGTGGTCGACCGAGGAGGTGACGACGTTCCTACATCTCATTGGGGATGATCAAATCCAGCGGGAGCTCGACGGAACAACTCGAAATGTGAACAAAAACAAAGCCGATCGCCCCGCCTACACTGCGTTGCTACCCCAGGTCCTAAACTGTAATGGGAATGCGCCACGGCCTCGGACGGCCAGCGAGGCAGCCGAGGCCTGAGCGAGGACGCTTAGGGACGCTTAAACGGGGCTACCCCGTTGCAGTGGAAATGCGCCATTAGAGACACGGAGAGACAGCTGTCCAGCTGTTCATGCATAAAATGCATTTGCTTTACTGCAGTGCTGAGTCCAGTATCAATCTGTTCACGTCTCCAAAAAGCACTAAACACAAGAAGTAGTAAAGTATTGCACGTAAGAACAAAATGTTCCTTATTTCCCTCTCATTCAGCCCTTCACTGCTTTAGTACGGACGAGAGTACCTTTGGCAATAATTCCACGAGGGGCTGAAGAAGATGAATACAAATACCTGGGGTTTGATTCTCTGATGTTTATGAGCTCTTCTCTAGTGAAAGAGCTCAATGTGCTGCGAGCAACAACAAATAGAAAACAACACAGTGTGAAGCTGACCGTTGAGCAGCCCGACCAAGCAAGGAGGCAGAGGCAGAGAGTTCAAATATAACCCAGTGTGGGCATGTATTACTCCTTGTGGTACATGACACAGCCTCAATATTACTGTCTCATGTGAACACAGTCAGCAGCAACAAGGATCTCACACACACAAACAGGAAACACAGAGCCTAAATACACACAGGACCAATCTAACGAACAAGACACAGGTGAGGGGGGAGGAGACAACACAGGGCACCAGGTGAACACAATCACCAACAATGAAGCTACAGTTGCAAAAAAAAATGTGAACCCTTTGGATTCTCCACACATAGCGTTGTGTGTTCCTTCCAAACAACTCAACTTTGGTTTCATCTGTCCACAGAATATGTTGCCAGTAGTGCTGTGGAACATCCAGGTGCTCTTTTGCAAACTTCAAACGTGCAGCAATGTTTTTTCTGGACAGCAGTGGCTTCCTCTGTGGTGTCCTCCCATGAACTCCATTCTTGTTCAGTGTTTTACGTATCGTAGATTCGTCAACAGAGATGTTAGCATGTGCCAGAGATTTCTTTAAGTCTCTAGCTGACACTCTAGGATTCTTCTTCACCTCATTGAGCATTCTGCGCTGTGCTCTTGCAGTCATCTTTACAGGACGGCCACTCCTAGGGAGAGTAGCAACAGTGCTGAACTTTCTCCATTTATAGACAATTTGTCTTACTGATGAACATCAAGGCTTTTAGAGATACTTTTGTAACCCTTTCCAGCTTTATGCAAGTCCACAATTCTTAATGGTAGGTCTTCTGAGAGCTCTTTTGTGCGAGGCATGGTTCACATCTGGCAATGCTTCTTAAGAATAGCTAATTCAAAACTGGTGTGTATTTTTTATAGGGCAGGGCAGCTTCAACCAACACCTCCAATCTCGTCTCATTGATTGGACTCCAGGTTGGCTGACTCCTGACTCCAATTAGCTCTTGAAGAAGTCTTTAGCTAGGGGTTCACCCTGCACTGTGAATGTTTACATGGTGTGTTCAATAAAAACATGAAAACATATAATTGTTTGTGTGGTATTGGTTTAAGCAGACTGTGTTTGTCTATTGTTGTGACTTAGATGAAGATCAGAACACATTTTATGACCAACTTATGCAGAAATCCAGGTAATTCCAAAGGGTTCACATACTTTTTCTTGCAACTGTATACAACCCGTAACGGAGGCCGAGATCTATGGGCCCAGAGATCACCTCCGTTACACACAGTGAGACCACAACACAGAGGCAGCCATACTCAGTGCCATCAGTTGTATTTTTCAAAATGATTGACCATGTGACTAGTGCTGAGCATGCTTTCAGAACCATGGACAGCGCTGTTTCTTGTGAGAGTAGGTGTGGCACTGTCAGAAACAAAGCAGAGATTGTGAACCCATGTGCTTCCTTTCAGTCTTAGTAAATACACTTTGGACTCTCATTCAAGTCACTTCATTCATCAAGTTTACGACTCACCTCCCAACACTCTCTGATTGCTCTGTAGCTTTCAATCAGAGCTCTGGTGGAGTCAGCTCTGCAGCTCCACCTACTGCACAGTGGTGTCCGAGTCTTGCTGATGTTCATGTCCAGGTTGTTACAATTAATATTTCATTCCAACTGTGAAGTGATGCGATACAGTGACGGTAAACTGGAGATCAAAGAAATCTTCACAGCTACCGTCAGTGCTGGCAACTCAAGGCACAGAATGGAGAAAGGGGATTGCTTTTTTTGAATGATCCAGGATTCAGTAATATTCACAATGCATGCTTCTGGGGCCAGATGATGAATCATGTTTATGACCCATTCAAACTGCTCCTGTGTGGCTGTGAAGAGGCTCACACCAAAGCATTCTCTCCACCTCTTCCCTTCCTCGCTGATAAAGCACATGGGATATTTCCATCTAACTCGTTGGCCCCATCATCCCCGATGTTGGCTCAACTCCCATCACTGTTTCACGTTTCTTCAAGTGCATCTGCCTAATGAAACTCGTTGTTGTCCCCCCCCCCCCCCCCCCCCCCCCTTCCTGCACCTGGCTACAGCCTTTACTCACATTAGCTGCTGCATTAGCCTGAGCGGTTGGGCAGACTTTAGCTTCACTGCTAGCGCCTTCTGTTGTGGCTGGACACAAACAGATGTCTCTGTCCTTTTCAAAAAAAATGTGTGTGTGTGTGCGTGTCAGGGTATAGATGAGGGCCCTGGGGGCCTGAAACTCGTCTCTGATATCATCCGAGAGAAAATGGGGATTGATGTCAGCGTCGTCATGGGATCAAACTGAAACAAGAAAACTGGAGAGAAAAAAATCAAGAGATCTGAAAATAATACAGTGACTTTTTAGAAACGGATTCCTTTATGTGGTGATCAAAGTATAAAGTCTCAGATGAATTGGTCATTATAAAGACTATATCATACCTATAGCATGTAGGATAACTCTAACAACATGTCTTCACACTGGTGCTACTGATATATAAAATAGAACTGATCATATCAACCAGTTTGATCTTGATCTGTCATTTTGATACATACAATATCATATATAAATCAGAAAATGTTAAGCTGTAGTCATAAACTTAAAGGTTCTGTTCTGTACACACACTTCACAACATTGCATTATAAACACAATTTATGAATGTGTGTGTGGGGGTGCGTGTGTGTTTTCAGGCAGTATAGGGTTCTGGAGAATGGGCTGCTTTTCAAAGAGCTGCTGCAGACTCCAAACTTCAGGATCAGAGTGGTGGATGATGCTGATACAGTGGAGCTGTGTGGAGATCTGAAGGTACACACACTGTGACACACACACTGTCATACTGTACACACACTGTGACACACACTGTCATACTGTACACACACTGTGACACACACACTGTCATACTGTATACACACTGTGACACACACACTGTCATACTGTACACACACTGTGACACACACTGTCATACTGTACACACACTGACACACACACTATCATACTGTACACACACTGTGACACACACACTCTCATACTGTACACACACTGTGACACACACACTCTCATACTGTACACACACTGTGACACACACACTCTCATACTGTACACACACTGACACACACACTGTCATACTGTACACACACTGTGACACACACTGTCATACTGTACACACACTGACACACACACTCTCATACTGTACACACACTGTGACACACACACTCTCATACTGTACACACACTGTGACACACACACTCTCATACTGTACACACACTGTGACACACACACTCTCATACTGTACACACACTGACACACACACTGTCATACTGTACACACACTGTGACACACACACTGTCATACTGTACACACTGTGACACACACACTCTCATACTGTACACACACTGTGACACACACACTGTCATACTGTACACACACTGACACACACTGTCATACTGTACACACACTGACACACACACTGTCATACTGTACACACACTGTGACACACATACTGTACACACACTGTGACACACACACTCTCATACTGTACACACACTGTGACACACACACTGTCATACTGTACACACACTGTGACACACACACTGTCATACTGTACACACACTGACACACACACTGTCATACTGTACACACACTGTGACACACACTGTCATACTGTACACACACTGACACACACACTCTCATACTGTACACACACTGTGACACACACACTCTCATACTGTACACACACTGACACACACACTGTCATACTGTACACACACTATGACACACACACTGTCATACTGTACACACACTGTGACACACACTCTCATACTGTACACACACTGTGACACACACTCTCATACTGTACACACACTGTGACACATCCTTTTTCTACTGTACATACTGCCCCTAGGTTCAATTCTCACAAAACATAACATCCCCTTCCATTGTTACGCTGACGATGTACAGATCTATCTGCCTCTCAATTAAAATGCCAACTCACTACAGCAGTTGATGGACTGCTTAACAGAGATTAAATCCTGGCTGAGCCAAAACTTCCTCACCCTCAATGAGAGCAAGACCGAGGTCATCTTTTTTGGACCCCAACCTCCAGCCTCCCCGGTTGATATTCTGGGCTCCCTCAGTAAAAACATCCTCCCCTCTGTCATGAACCTTGGAGTGACCTTCAACAGCGCCTTTAAATTTGATAAGCAGGTTAGCACCGTAGTCAAGACCTGCTTTTTTAAAATACGACTATTGGCTAAGACCAAGTCGTTTTTATCTTTTAAAGACCTAGAAAGGGTTATTAACGCCTTTGTTACCTCGAGACTGGATTACTGCAACGCTCTGTATGTGGGTATGGACCAGGCATCAATTAGATGCCTGCAGCTAGTTCAGAATGCAGCTGCATGTCTTCTCACTGGCCATAAAAAGCGTGACCATGTCACCCCAATTCTGGCTTCATTGCACTGGCTTCCAGTTCGGTTCAGAATAGATTTTAAACTCCTTTTATTTGTTTTTAAAGCCTTAAATGGGCTGGCTCCTGCCGATATAGCCGAACTCCTCCATCGCTACACCCCAGGCAGAGCCTTAAGGTCGGCTGATCAGCTGTTGTTGATAGTGCCTAAGACCAGGCTTAAAACCCGAGGGCATCGAGCTTTCGCAGTGGCTGGCCCTAGGCTCTGGAATACTTTGCCTCTCCATGTGAGGTCGGCCCAGACCCTGGGGGTTTTTAAATCAACACTTAAAACTCACTTTTTCTCTCTGGCTTTTGTTTAATTATCTATTTATTTAGTTATTTATTTATTCATTTAGTTCTTTATTTTAATATTTATAACATAACATAGGATTTCATAAAGTATTTTAAAAATAGTTTATACATTATTCAAATATAGGAATAGTAGATAGGATTACTTAAAATATAGTACCTTATATTTCATCTTTTTTCCCTTTAGACCCTTGCGGTTTATTCTTAAAAACCCTTACCCTTACCCACCCGCCATTTTCCCTCTGCTGGTCTATGGCCTTGTAGAGGGTAACGGGATACAGAGTCGCTTAGATAAGCGGGGGAGTGCATCTGACGAAGAGATAGGTTGTTGTGCTCCCTATCTCTGTTTCTTATCCTATATCTAATAGAACTGCTCGGGTCTTGATAGATTGAGTGGGGAAGTTCATGAGATCTTTCTAGAGGGTTATCAAGAATTACTTTTATCCAATGACCTTTTCCCTCTCTGTCTGTGTCTGTGTATTCTCTTGTTCCGATTAACCCAGCCAAATGTTTTTTCTTGTTTTGTATCTATATCTACGCCGGGATCCGGAGTCGAGGCTGATCCTCTTGCTGTAGTCCTGTGTCTTGGATCCTCCATCCTGAGTTCTGGATTAAGTCGTGGACTTCGGGTCGTGGCTGAACCTGTCTCTGCGGTCCTGCCTGGGTCTCGTCATGCTGCTTCCCTGAAGGCTTCCACAGGATTGTAGCTGACATCCTCGTGGATTCATCTTCTTATTACAGACACATGCATTTCCTAACATTCGGTCTATATGCTGTAAAATGTATTATCTCTTCGATTTACACACGGCATCTATTGCACGTCTGTCCGTCCTGGGAGAGGGATCTCTCCTCTGTTGCTCTCCCTGAGGTTTCTCCCATTTTTTCCCTTTAAACTGTGGGTTTTTCCTCTGGAAGTTTTTCCTTGTACGATGTGAGGGCCTGAGGATAGAGGGTGTCGTTTTTCTCATACTGATATTCTGAACAATCTGTGCTGTTGTATTTGCTGTAAAGTGTCTCTACTGTAGGCTATTTTTATTATATGTACAGCACTTTAGCTCGACCAAAAATCGTTTATAAATGTGCTATATAAATAAAACTTGATTTGATTTGGTACACACACTGTGACACACACACTCTCATACTGTACACACACTGTGACACACACACTCTCATACTGTACACACACTGTGACACACACACTCTCATACTATACACACACTGTGACACACACACTCTCATACTATACACACACTGTGACACACACACTCACATAAGAAAGAAAGATGGCTGCCGCGTCTCTAGCTCCTATCCAACTCTGCATTGTTTTCCTTATATTTCAGTGTTTGCGTACACTTCAGTGTGTATTTTTTACTTTTTTACATGTATATAGGCTTCTTGCACTATTTTTTATTTGTATGTTTGTATCTTATTATATATGTTGCATTGTTGGAGGATTTTCATTGCCATTCTACACTGTAGCTTTGTGCATATGACATTAACACCTTTAAATCTTGAATACAGTACACACACTGTGACACAGCCTCAATCTCATACAGTACACACAGAACACACAACTACACTCACAAACTGTACCACACAACCTCGTTTATAAATGTTCCCCGAGTTATTTAGTTTATTTATTTACCTATAATATTTCAAATGATTGTTATTAAATGTTGCACTCAGGTGTGTGTGGTGTGCTGTGTGTGATGGTGGTGCTCTGTGTTGGATCAGAACATTGTGGCAGTGAGGGCCAGCCTCTGTGACGGGCTGGAGTACAGTGACAACACCAAGGCGGCTGTGATCCGTCTGGGGCTGATGGAGATGATAGCCTTGGCTAAACTCTTCTCCAAGAACGGCCCTGTTTCCACGACAACCTTCCTGGAGAGCTGCGGTGTGGCCGACCTCATCACGATATTTTACGGCGGCCACAACCGACGAGTGGCGGAGGCTTTCTCGAAGACGGGGAAGGTAGGGGCCCCATCACCAGAGGGCATGGATCTGATGGACCTCCAGGCTTCTCTAGGCAGACGACAATAATACTTTACAAGTGTTTAAATCTCTGCAGGTGTTTTAAGTAAACGTTTTTCCATTCACTTCTTTCTTAGGTTAATCTTGTTTTTTCATCTCTACAATTTCTGTACTTTTCTTGTCCTGCCTTGGCAGAGCGTTGAGGAACTAGAGAGGGAGATGTTGAACAGACTGAAGTCCTGCCACCTCTGTCCAGGTGTACCACATCCTCCAACAGAAGGGCCTGGTGGACAAGTCAGTATACTGTCTGTCTGGAATCACTGTACCTGTCTTTAGGTATTTGAGGGGTCTAGTATTTTAGCTCTTTACTGCAGTCATGTTTAGACTTAAATTAATTGTTAGATACCTATTTCCTTTTGTTCTACTTGCAAGATGTTCCAAATTATATCTGTTAAAGAGGCCCTATTATTACTTGGGATTTTAAATTATCAGCCCTCACCGACTCTTACACTTTCCTGTAGGATTCAAGGCTTTTATTGTCATTCGTACATAGCTACAGTGTAGTTATATTGATGAAGATCTTAGGTCCCAGGCTCCTCCAACAGTGCAACACAATAAAACAGATGAAATAGTGCAAGTAAATACAATAAAATAGAAGTAGTGCCATAACAGTCTATATCATTTGTGAGGGAAACTTCTGAAGCAATTGGAAACAGGACTCAGAGAGACACGAGGAGAGCTGGAGCTTTGATGGAAAACACTGACGGGTTTATTTGAAGCTTTGGCCGGAGAATTCACAAGACATGTCACGAGCCACGAGTTGACAGGTTCACAGGTTGATAACAAATATGGACCCTGAATCTAACTAGAGCTGTCGTCCATAGAACAGAATATGCGCCAGGGAACCTACGTTCCAGGAAAGAAAGGCCTCTAGATGTCCCTGAACAATAAACTATCTCATGTCAGCTTGTGCTCGGTCATAAACTGGCAACAACAATGCGCCCAAGCTGCCCCTCCTTAAGAGAGATAGCAGCAATACCCAAGGCCGTAGACCTATGCCATGGGAAAAGAGACAGTGAAAGGATGATGGTGTTTGTGTGTCGTCAGCAAACTTCACGATGGTGTTGGAGCTGTGTGTGGCCACGCAGTCGTGTGTGAACAGGGAGTAGAGGAAAGGCCTGAGCACGCAGCCTTGAGGGGCTCCGGTGTTGAGGATCAGGGTGGAGGATGTGATGTTTCCCACCCGCACTGCATGGGGTCTGCCCGTCAGGAAGTTCAGGATCCAGTCACAGAGGGCGCTGCTGAGCCCTAGGTCTCTGAGCTTGATGACCAGCTTGGAGGGCACAATGGTGTTGAATGCTGAACTGTAGTCAATGATCAGCATTCTCACATATGTGTTCCTCTGGTCCAGGTGTGAGAGGGCAGTGTGGATGGTGAGGGCTATGGCGTCGTCTGTGGACCTGTTTGCTCTGTAGGCAAACTGCAGGGGGTCCAGAGAGTCAGGGAGGGAGGAGGTGATGAAGGTTTTGACTAACCGCTCAAAGCACTTCATAATGATGGAGGTGAGTGCTTCTGGGCGGTAGTCGTTGAGGCTGGTGATTTTTGTCTTTTTGGGGACAGGAACGATGGTGGAGTGTTTCAAACATGTGGGGACAACAGACTGCAGCAGGGACCTGTTGAAGATGTCTGTGAACACCTCTGCCAGCTGAACTGCACACACCCTGAGAACACGGCCAGGGATGCCCATCAGGTCCAGGAGCCTTGTGTGGGTCAACCCTTTGAAAGGATTTGCACACATCTGCCCTGTTTAAAACAAATGGGCAGGGCTCCTGATCCTTCTGTGCTTCCACAGCCTGTCTGATCTTGAATCGTGCAAAAAAACTGTTCAGCTCATCTGGGAGAGATGCGCACGCAGACACTCCCGCAGCACCCCCCGCTGCTCCTTTGTAGTCTGTCATTGTTCTTAGTCCCGCCCACATGTTCCGGGTGTTACACTTTTTGATGTATTTTAGACATAAATATGTTTCCCCGTTGTGTCAAAGAACTCACAAAGTGTCAGAAAACAAAACCCTCTCTCTTTTCCTCCGAATGGACAGAGCTGATCCAGATTTGCATCCGGTATGACGAAATATCTGAAATGTGGGCTGGCTTTACACCCACGGTCCTATCAGAAACGTTGCTATCAGAAACAATGCCGACATGTTTTGGACGTAATATGGTCTGTGTTTACATTAGCAAGCATCACTAACACTCAGAGCTAACTGGAGAGAGTATGTGTAAAAAAGCAGGAAATAAAGAAAGGAACTCACCTGTGGTAAACCCGCAAGAGAAAAAGCATTTGAGCTCCATACTGTTTTAGAAATAGTCCTTGATGTGGTTTTGAACATGATATGGCATTTAATCACGGCAGCATTTAGCTGAGAATCTCTCTGTAGAATTCTGAGCAGGGATTAGCTCCCACCCCAACTTTCTTCCTTTTTTTTTTTTTTAAAGCTAAGGGCCCAAAATCAGCGTTTCTCTAACAGGGCTGAAACAGAGGGATATGAGGCATGGCTAGAATGGGTGATATGTTTGGTATTTTGAGCAAAACACATCATCGACATGTATTTTATATTTGTTTTATATATCTGAGACCCAGAATATATGCCTCAAAATAGTATGACAGGAAACCTTTAAAGGGGACCTATCATGCAAAATGCACTCTTGTACATATTTTATACATGAATATGTGTCCCCGGTGTGTCAGGGAACTCACCAAGTGTCAGAAAATACAACCCTCTCTCTTTTCCTCTATACCCAAATCTCTAAAAAAAAAGAGGCTGTAACGGATCAGATACAGACTGATCCAGATTTGAATTATTTTCTACGTCACAAAAGGGGTGCTCCGCTTAGTGGTCAATTCTCCACCTATCAGGTGAATGAGCGGTTGGGCCACGGCCGGCCATATAGTGGCGAAGTCACGCCCATCTACTTCCGGTCCATGGGACCTTATTTCGAAAAAATTATGTATTGAAGTCAATGGAGAGAGAAAACGTATCTTTCGATCCTGTTTGAATTGTGACACGAATTACACATATGATGTTTGTCAATCTTAAAAAATAATTTCCATGTCAAAAAAGTCACAGTTTTTCGTAAAACTGTTGAAATATAAGACTATGAAAAATACGCAACTAGAAAGACTACAAATCCCAGAGTCGCGTAAGTGATGTCATAACTGATGTCACAATTGTTTTCCTCCGCTAAATATAAGAGATGGATAAGAACTTTAACAAGATGCCTGTGTGCTTGGTACCAAGTTGTTACCATCATACCAGCAATGGGTCTTGCTCGTTCTTTCGCTTCCCGTCTGATGAAAGGACCAGGAGTGGCTAGACCAAGTTAGCTACCTAGCTAGTAGCTAGCACGTTAGTTAGCATTACAGCCTTAGCCTTGTCATTTTTATTAGCCTTGCCCTTGACATGAAAGTAACATCAAGTAACCCAAAATGTTAAACAGTAAGAATAGTAGTCATATTTCGTGAACCCTTTGAAGAGTACTGTCACACCGGTGTGATCATTCTATAATACACCATTTAAGCCCGGGGGAGAAATGCTAACGCTAACGCTACATTAGCATCCGCGATCTTTTCTACTTCATGCTATCTGCACAAATGGTTGACATTAAACATTAAAAAGATCAGGCAGTTCAGAGAGAATCGAAGGAAGGCAGGCAGGCAGGCAGCTTTGCGTGACATTCTTCTGGACGTGTTTCATTGTGGTGATAGTGAGGGTAGTTAATCCCTTGTTTAGCAAGACAGTAGTGATGGCCATCTTGGTGACGTGTGTTGTTGTCAGTGCTTGAATTGGAATGAAAAAGGTGCCAGTACTCTAAAATCAGCAACTTTTTCAAGTCAATTTTATATATACAGCCCACAAACAAGAATTTGGCTACTATAATGCTGGTGGGTTTGTCTCTTTACTACTGTATATTTTAGAAAGGTTCACTGTACTTAACATTTTTTATGATAGGCAGCGGATATGGCTAAAGCTCAGTAAGGTCAATATTAACTGAAAATATAGCAATCAAAGTCTAGATCTTCTGCTGAAGACACATGAAGCAGAGACCTTTCAGGTGAGAGCCCCTCTGGTGGTGTTCAACATTAATGACAAGGAAACAAAGCTCTGGTCAGAAGCATTTTTTATAAAAAGCTTTAACAAAATTAAGTATTTCTGTACATTTTGAATGCAATCTAACTTTCCAACTCAGAAAACGAAAAAGTGCCAAAAGTCTTCTCACATGGCTGAGCTGCTTTGCAATATACTTCACCACTGAAGAATACAAATATGTATAAAGTAAACTATGATGCAATCTAACTTTCCAACTCAGAAAAATGATAAAGAGCATGAACAAAGAACATGTAAAAACAAATGCAAAATTTGCACAATCTAAAATGAGAAACTGTAACTGCAAGTAACAAAGTCTGAGCCATGGTAAAGAGTTACATTGAACACCAAGCTGATCAGATAACTCCCTGGTTGGTCTGAAGTCCTTCTATCTCCAGGATCTGTACAAATCGGCACATTATGCCAAAAGTCTTCTCACTGGGTGAGCTGCTTTGCAATATACTTCACATTGTTAGAAAAGGCTCCAGAAGGCCTTGGGGACATCAGTATCAGGGGCTGGAGCTGGACAGGCTCTTTCATCAGCACTTCTCCTTCCCTTTGCCAGCCAGGACCTCACATACTGTTCCGGATTGAACTGTCCTAGTGATGGTCCATTACATTTAATGAAAACCAGGCTGGACAGTCGGCTGACAGAGAGAGCATTCCTTTTTGCAGTAAGGATATCGTTCATGCAACTGAATGCCCGCTCACACTCACTAGTGGAGACAGCGATGGTTCGGACTGCTTTAAGTAGAGGCTCCATGGCAGCAGGTGTACGGGATGCCCTGGTTTCCTTGTATTCGCGAAAGCCCTGAACAGTCTCTCTTCTGTCCACTTTCAGCACTTCGCACAAACGTAGCACCTCTACGTCCCCATACTGTACGTCTAACTCCTCTTCAGGCCAACTTCCAGGATGGATAACTTTCATGTCCTGGATTAGCTGATTGTCCCGGGCCTCCCGGCCATGTAATGGGATTTCTCTTGTGCTGACATGAGAGGAGGTTGTGGAAGTCATTCTGTGTCTCAGATTCTCTACCATACTGCGGAAAAACTGACCTGCATGAATCTGTACAAGCCTGCCATTCTCACGCAGGGCAACACCCTTGAAGGACTTCTCAGCTAGAGCTGTATGAACTGTAGTCATGTGTGGGCCAGGCATGGTGACCATGGATTCAAAAACTCGTATTTCTCGAGTTAAGAGCCTATCTGCTGTAGGCAGTGTCATCTCTCTTTTTTGGACTTGCCGAGAGAGGTCGCTGAGCTCTGTGAGCGCATCGTACATCAGTCCCAGATTGCTGACAAATGTTGCAGATGTGAGCACATCATCCAGGCCCTTGTACTTTGCTCTGTCTCTGGAATCCCTGCTCGTGTCGTTTGCAGCATTTGTGAAGTGATCATATAGCACTCGGTAGTTTTCCCAGACTGCTCTGACGCTCCTTTCACTTGAAGCCACCCAGCGGATGGACAAAACACGCCCTATCACCAGGAGACGCTGTCCGACTGCTTGCGCACACTGCGCTAACTGCCTCTGATTTTTGGGGGAGGCATGGAACAAGGAATAGAGTTTGTCAAAAAAGATCTGGAAATGATTGAGCCCTGAGACCTCCTTGACCACATCCCCAACTGCCAGCTCTAGACGATGATTGGAGCAGTGCCACACAAACAGGCTTGGGAATTTACTACACAACTGGGTAGCAACGCCTGTTCTCTTCCCTAGCATGACTGAAGCCCCATCACATGCAAAAGAAACGAAACACTGACCTAAAAAGTCCTCGTTAAAATCTCTTCCAAGACACTCCATTAACGCCTTTGTGATGTCATCAGCCGTTGTTCCATCCAACTCGATCAGCTCCCAAAAAAACGTTTCGGGCTCAGCATCAGCTAATGCTGAGCGTAGACACACAACAAGCACCGTTTTACCACTAATAGTGGTAGATTCATCGACCAAAACACAGAGTTTTCTTTGGTTTTCTGTAATGTCTTTTGCCATTTTTTTCTTCAGCTCATGAGCTATGTGGTCGATGATTTCGCCACAGGTTTTATTGGAGTGCAAAACCCTGCCCACGTTCAGCCCATTCAGTTTCTGTACATTCAAATCAATTGGCATGTCTGTGAATGGCCGGCTATGTTTGCCAATTTTATATGCCGTTCGAAAAACTCTGATAGTGGTGTCTAATTCAGATTTATGCATAGACTGCACTTGATGTTGAATAGTTTCACGTGAAGCAGATGTAAGGATGTCAGCAGCTTTTACATGGGCTTGTGATTCTTTATGTTCTTTGATTTTTTTTCTCAGGCTAGCTTGTTGTTTGCCCTTGTCAACACCGAAATGAGACACTGCACACTCACCCCATTCAGTTGACAGTTTCAGTCCTTGTCCAGTGTGTATTCCCAAAGATTTGACATCTCTGCATATCCGACATCCTAGCTTCTTATCTTTAAGAAGGAGCCATGCATTGGTCTTGCAAAAATATTGCACCTGGTCCGTTGTCCAGCAGTCAGGTGCATCGCTTTGCCCGGTGTTGGTGGTGGCAGTTGCGCCAGCAGCAGCTAACGTTAGAGGCTCTGGAGGAGGCGGCGGAGCTAGTGCTAATGCTAATGCACTAGAACTTGGAGCAGGAGGATCAACCAAAGAAAGCTCCCCATCAGACACAATCTCCAACACAGGCACAGCATTCTCTGTATTTGAAGTTTCTTCCAGCGACAACCGCTGTCTTTTTGCACTTTTATTAATCCACGCTAACATTTTAGAAATGCTAATTTGTGACGTGACTTGCCTTCTCTCGGGGGCGTGCCTGCTCTGTTCTATCACTCTACATAGCCACCCACTGGGTGGGAGTTGCACTGCATAAACACAACACACGTGCATCTAGGTATGTAAATTGTAAAGCATTAAAACATGGTTTTACTAACAGTTTTCAGTATGTTGTTACTTCGGCATTATTATTATTATTATTTTGAAACGTGTATTACTATTAAATCACGGTCAAATAGGTTAATTTTGACATAGTCGTTTCCACCACAGTATGTACATGGAGAAGATAAGCCCCGCCCCCTCTCCAGCACGTTCTGTTTGAATGACAGGAGTAAACAGCTGACAGCCGCTGTGAAACTCCAGCGGTTAGAGCGATGAGAATGTCCGTTCAGCACCTCATGACGCATCTACTGAGTACCGGGCGGCTGTATATATATATATATGGATGTATAATAAGAACGGCGGGAGAGTGTTGAGTACTGGCACGGTGCATGAGTACCGGAGTACCGCCAGCATGCCGGTACTGAGCAAGAAGTGCCGGTACTCCATGGGTCAGAACCAGAAGTGCCGGTACTGCGTACCGGTGAGTACCGGCCCAATTCCAGCACTGGTTGTTGTGCAAGACCAGAGATGTAGTTCATTGACCGTTTCACACAAATGGTGTCAGCTGTCGTTGATATTATAGCTTTTTTAGCTGTCAACCAACTCCCTCTCAGAGGTGACCATGATTCACTCCACAGCATGTCCGAGTGCAGTGCATAGGAAAATGAACCATGCCCAAGGCGGGCTAAACAGTTCATCGTCTCCGTCTCTACTATTTCTCTCCGAGTGCAACGATGAGGAAGCTGCCATCCTTAACCAGTGTGCCTTGCTCGTGATATACCAGTGTTTGTGCTGCCACGCACACAATGTTTCAAAAGTGGTTTCTATGTTGCCCTTTATTTGTGTATGTATTTGCGATAAGTGTGCGTCTTTACGCAATGACGTTGGCCTTACTGTTTGATATTGTGCCGCAGGCCCGCAGCACATGACGGTTTTGTGTGCCCTCCCATGAAAATCATATGCCCTCCCTTTAGATTTGTTCTGGCGCCGGGTCTGGTTGTATGTGTTGATTTAAATTGACATGCATCTGCTAAGAAATAAAAAAATATTCCTTTTTTAACTAACGTAGCAACGGCAGGAACTGCTTCGATAGCGTTTTTGAGGAGCTTTTTGATTACAGATTTGAAAACATTGTTGCTTGCTTTAAAAGTAGCACAATTCATTATGTCAAACCTTGGAATGTATCCAGATATCCCTGCCCTAATGCCAAAGTAACTGGGAACTGAATATGTGTCGCCGTTTGATGTCTATGTCTGGTCCGCTGCGTAAAAAGGAGGGTTTCTGCCCCATTACTTCTCTTCTTACTTCTATAAGAATAAAACACGGAGGACGGAGATCTCTTTTTCTCCCCCTCTTCTGACAGCCCAGCAGCTGATCTCAAAGCACGCTGCCCTCTCCTGCAGGGGGGCGTGGTCAGCTGCAGCTCACAGAATCAGTCACCTGCAAAAACAGCGCTGGAAAGACCAAATAGAGCGAAATGAGGCATGGCTAAAATGCAGGATCTGTTTGGTATTTTGAAAAAAAAACGATATTTATATACTTTATATAGGTATGGCCCTACAATATATTGTTCAAATATAGCGTGATATGTCCCCTTTAAGTAAGGAGTTGGTTAGCCTAGCTTAGCATAAAGACTTGGACCATGTCTCCTAACTCACTGAGTAACAGTGGCGAACCGTCAGGGCCTTCAAGGTATTCAGAGAATACCCTGGAACACTCAGATAAAACAAACAAAACATCGATTTAATTATATAAATAAAATGTAATAAAATGTATGTAAAATGAATAAATGAGAATCGTATCTGTGTTGTTGATCTGTAATATTACAGTGTTACGTTGATTTGTTTGTCCTTCTCGGACCATGCACTACGCATTTCAGTGGTTTTGTGTTAGAAAAGAAAGCAACCAATCAGATCTTGTTCTGGGTCTCTGGGTAGAATATCCTTCAACAAGGTATTCTACATCCTTGATCGAATGCCCTGGTCGTTGCACTGAATGAGAGCGTACGTTTGGACTGACAGTTTGATCAACCAATCATATTTGACTTGTGGGCGTATTCTTTCAGAGTTTCCCTCGGTTCCAGGGTATTCTAGAAGGCCCGCTAGTTAACTGGCTCGAGACAGAGGATCTATGAATGCGACGAAGCAATTCATGCCGTTTTATTGTTTTTAACGTTGAAATGACAAGTGCAACAGGTAAAGATGAAGTTGTTGCGGAATTGGTGTGAGTACCATTTTCAAGACGACAATTCTGTGAAAAGACGGACATTATAATGCCGCGGAGGGGGGCGGCGGCGGCGGGGGGTGTGTGTGTCTACAGAAGGTCCAGTTGTGATAGACACGGTTCGCCACTGCTGAGTAACCTATTTGTATTGTTTTTTTATTTATTTGTAGTTATACTTAAAGGGGACCAATCATGCAAAATGCACTTTGTGATGTCTTTTATACATAAATATGTGTCCCCGGTGCGTCGGGGAACTCACGCAGCGTCAGAAAATAAAACCCTCTCTCTTTTCCTCCGTACGGGTGTACAACAAGCGGATACAGATTCCATCCGAACTGAAAATCGGCAGCGGACCCACAGAAAGTGGCTATCAGAAACAATGCCTGACGTGTTTTGGACGTCTTTGTTGACATTAGCAAGCCTCGCTAACACTCAGAGCTAACCTGTACTGTAGAGCACATGTGTTTAAAAAGCAGGAAATTAAAAAAAGGAACTCACCTTGTGATAAATCTGCAAGAGAAAAAGCATTTGAGCTCCATACTGTTTCAGAAATAATCCTTGACGTGGTTTAAACAGGATGGCGTTTTATCACAACCGAATTTAACTTTATCTCCGGTAGAATTCTGATCAGGCATTAGCTCCGCCTCCTCTTGTTTATTTTTTTCAAGCTAAGGACCCAAAATCTGCGTTTCTCTAACAGGGCTGCAAAAGAGGGGTTTGAGCAGTATGAGGGATGGCTACAATGGGTGAAAAGAACTTCACAGACATGTTTTATATAGGTATAAAATACAATATTATTTTTCAGATATAGCATGATAGGTCCACTTTAAGAAAATAATTGTATTACTTGTTCCACCACTGTTAGCACCAGTGCTCCATGATGACAGGATCATCTCTGAGTCTATAGAGTTGATATGAGTTTATACAGTTATTGGTCTGAGTGTGCTCCTCTCTGCAGGTTCCCTCTCTTCACAGCAGTCTATCAGATTTGTTTCGAGGAGCGACCCGTTCAACAGATGATTTCCTGCCTGCAGAGCCACCCAGAGCATGTGTGATCAGGGAGTTACATCAACACCAGTTTAGCATAAGATGCTAATGCTGTGAGCCTATAAGCTTACCTTTGGACTGTGATTCTGAGGTCCTGCAATGGGTTCAGTGCAAATACTGTATAATGTCCTTAATCAATTCAAGTTCAGGTAACATTTACCAAAAGGAACTGCACTTTGCCAGATTTCCAGCAGCCAACAAATACCTTCTCATCTGATAACAATACTGCATACTGTCATCCTTTTGAAAGGTACACTAAATCAATAATATTTTTGGGTAGACTGTGGTGTTAATATCCCAATGCGGGAGTTAAAGCAAACGTCAATTAAATTATTACTGATCCTCACCTGGTTTCCTGATGCTTCTATAGTATGGATTTACTGCTGCAGCTGTGTGTTGTTATGTGTTTCTATAACTCATGTGGGTTCTGTTTTTTCCTGGTTTTTGGTTTCTACCCCACAGTCCTCCTCCTTTCTACAAAAAACAACAGGCTCCATCTTTTGCTAAAGTAGCACAAATGATCATGTCATTGGCTTATTCATACTATTGCGTTATATTGCAGCTTTGCTGTTATTATTTTTGCTTTTTATAATGATATTATAAACAAGTTTGTATTCACTTCAGGTGTTTTCAACCTAGACTTATTTTGATGTATTATATATGTATATACGTTTGACTCACTCTGCTGTTCAGCTTTTAGAAACACTATGTTTTGCCCAAGACCAGAATAAAGTATTCCAGGTTTATGACCAAATGCTAGAAGTGAACCTCTGTTCACTTAAAGGGACAGTTTGAGAAATGCTGAAACAACTCAAAACAGCAGCCATTATAACGTGGGACTGCATCTGTGTCATATTGATGCCCTTTAGTTAAGCCCTGCACAAGCACAACAGCACCAGACTATGCATTTTGACTTAGGATGAGATACGGATATTTACTCTGTGTTTCAGTATTGTGTAACTTCAAAGGATTTGTGTTCATGCGTTTTCTTTTCCTTTCAGGTAAATATCAGTCTATGGTAAATATACAGTAGTTGCGAAAATACTCCCACATCTAGCACAGAAATTTGATTAATTGTGTACCGGCAGACATGAGTTTCAATCCTACAGTAAGTCAGTAATGCATTTGGATACCCATCATTAGCTCAGTGTCAAAAACATTGAGATTCTTCCTTTCAATTGTTGCCAAGTAGCAATATCATAACATGAAATATTGAAGATTGTATAGAGCTCTTTTCTATTCTGAGTGTCCTCACAGTCCCAATAGCGCATCCCAGGACCCGCTGTGTGCTGGACAGTCCCGACAGTTCCCTTTGAAAAGTGCTGTGCTCGGCTCTTTATCTGAGGGGGCGAGCCATCTGCCAATCGAGTGAATTAGGCTGTGTTCAGCATAAAGCCTTTTATCCTGTAAGAGTGAAACATTGTGAAAACATGTCCATTAAAGCTAAACTCTCACCTTTTTGTCACTTTTGTTTCTGTGCTGAGCATTAGCCGCATTAATGGATTATGAGACCTGGTAACTGTTCCACTTCATTCCAATGGTAATATTTTTCATCCGGCACATGACCCCAAAACTTTTTCTCTTCCTGATCTGTCTCTGTGCTGTGAGTCCACTGCCAATGATCACAAGTGAAGTGAGCCTGCAGGCCTGTAGTTTAAATCCATCCATCTGAATCAAAGCATGAAAGCCTGGAACAGATGAGGGCTTAATCCACTGTCCACGGAGGACAATGAGCCTGTTCTGACTGGTGCATCAGAGAATTTCTTGTTCTTAGAACAACTGAAACTCACTGTAATGCGGGTCTAATGTAGGAGCTGAATACACAATCATCATACCATCAGCTGACACTGATACACACACTCGCAACTTTAAAGGGGCCATGTCATGGCCATTTCTACTGATCATAATTCCATTGTTGAGGTCTACTAAAATAGATTTATATTGTGCAATTTTCCAAACTCACATTGGTTTCTCATACAGCATCTCTGTATAGTATGTGTATTCACTCTCTGTCCTAAACGGCTTTTTGGAGCTCCTGAGCCCAGTGTGCTCTGATTGGTCAGCTCGCCCACTCTGTTCTGATGAGTCTACCACCGTTACAGCTGCACATCAGTGATTATGTGTTACAATGGCGTTAGCAACCAGGAAATGACACCAGTAAGGACAAACAGATGAGAATGCTGCGTGGGGTCTGGGTGCCGTGTTGGCGGGACGTTGCGCTGCTCGCTGCTGCGAGAAACGGACAGTGTGAGCTGGGTTCATTTCCTGCTTGCTGCGTGGGGTCTGCGAGACAGCGAGACATCACGAATGGGGGGGATGCTGAGGGGGCTGCAGCACCCTCATCTGCGAGGGACCTCAGGGGCGGACTGGCTATTGGGCAGTGGTGGGCCGTCAGGGCCAGCAAGGCCTTCTCTGCTGGCCTAAACATCATCAGAATATAAATTTAATTTTGATATATTTTTTCCACAAATATGTATTAAATTATTCCCCATAGTCTATTCTTTTCATTTCATAGCTTTCCTCTTGGTTGCGCTGCTTCCAGCCTCAGAACAAGATTTGGAGGGCTGGCCTTTATGTTAGAGCTTTTATCCAATCATATTTCAGCCATAATGTGTTGCCAGGGTCCAAGAAATCTGCCCTTAGGCCTTCAGAATCAACAGTGCGGGCGCCTGTAGCTTAAAGTGAACGGAAACAAAACTGTGGCGTTAACCAATCAGATTTTGAGTTGGCGACAACGGGCCAGCTAGCAGGCGTACGATGACGTCAGCACGTGCACGTATTTTGATTGGATACGCACTATTGAGAGGCAGAGCTATGTAGAGCTAGCAAACTGAACTTGAATTTGAACGAGCTAATTTGTGTAGATTTCTACAAGCTGTTTTTTTTCAACCCACAATGGCTGAAGGAGGAGAAGAGATCGATTTTGTCGCAGATATAATTACAACGCCATTTTCAAGACGAACTTTTCAAGAAAAGCTAGACATTGTGAGAAGAGAACGGCCAACCCCGACGCTAGCGAGCCTATCACAGCGGGGGAAAGGGTTTGTCCGCCACTTTCAAATCACTAACTACGAGCGGTACCCCTGGCTCACAGCCTCCGAGAGGCACTGCAAATTGTACTGCTGGGAATGCCTGCTATTTGCAAATGATCGATTTGGTGTTTGGAGCCACACTGGATTTGCAAACTTGAGTTGTCTAACCAAGGCAGCAACGAGACACCAAAGCACGGCTGGGCACTTACAAGCAATGGTGCTTTTGAAAACCTTTGGGGACACCCGAGTGGATCTACAGCTCAACGAACAAGTGCGCCGGGAAACGGAGCTCCACAACGAAAGGGTGAACAAAAATAGGGAAATATTGAAAAGACTGATTGATTGTGTCCTGTTTTTGGGTAAACAGGAACTTTCATTTAGGGGACATGATGAAAGCGCCGAGTCCAGAAACAGAGGAAACTACGTGGAGCTTCTTTCTTTGCTTGCTGAGAACAACACAGACTTGCATTACCACCTGTCCACAAACAAAGTGTTTACTGGGACGTCAGGCAAAATACAAAACGACCTGATTTATGCTATTGCTGAAGTGATGGGAGAAGAGATCAAAATGGAGATTAAAAAAGCACCCTTTGTCGCTGTTATGGTGGACGAGACGACAGACGTGGGTAATGTAGCACAGCTGGCACTTGTCCTGCGTTATGTGACGGACACAGGTGTCAAGGAGCGGTTTGTCAGATTTGAAGATGTTACAAGCGGCAAGCGAGCTGATGACATTGCCGCTCTTATTTTCCGTTTCATGGAGGAATATGAATGTAGTCTGGATAAAGTTGTGGCACAGTGTTATGATGGCGCAGCGGTCATGGCATCTGGACTAAATGGGGTGCAGGCTAAAGTTAAGGAGAGGGCACCTATGGCCTTATTCATTCACTGCTATGCACATCGACTAAATTTAGTACTGACTCAAGGGGCCTCAAAGCTTAAAGAATGCAAGGTCTTTTTTGCCAGTCTCAATGGCCTTGCAGCATTTTTCTCCAGATCCCCTAAGCGCACGCAACTGCTGGATGACATTTGCAAGCGTCGTCTTCCTAATGTTGCACCAACGCGGTGGCAATATACATCGAGATTGGTCAATGCAGTCTTTGAGAAGAGAGTTTCCCTAAAGGAGGTGTTTGACCACATACTGGAACATCATGAGGAGTATGATGGGGATACTATGCTTAGCGCTGATGGATTTAATGCACGTCTGGATGATTTTGAGTTTTGTTTTTTGCTTGAAACATTCAATGGGATTTTTAAGCATTCAGATGTGCTCTTTGGAATACTACAGAAACAAACATTGGATGTACAATTCTGTCTGACAAGGGTGAACGAGTTTTGTGACACAATTGAGCGAGAGAGGTGCCAGTTTCGTCAGATCTACGAGGACACAGCGCGCATCTCAAATGGTCCGAGCGCACGCAGAGGCCCACGTACAGCACAAGGAGACCTTCGCGCATACTACCAAAAACTCCACAGCAATATTCTGGACAACATTCTTTGCCAGATACGGAGTAGGTTTCAAGACCACGAAAAATTAATGTTTCTCTCCCTCCTGGACCCCCAGCACTTTCAGACCTACCGGAAAAAATTCCCGCAAACAGCCTTAGCCAAATTAACACAGAGTCACGGAACACTGTTCGATCTGTCCCGGCTAAAAACAGAACTGACTGTAATGTATGCCATGACTGATTTTGATGGGAAAAGTCCCACTGATCTCCTTGATTTCCATAAGCAGAAAAATCTGAGTGAGAGCATGGGGCAGCTTTACACATTGGCATGTGTGGCAGTGACTATCCCTGTGTCCACTGCTTCTGTCGAGCGGTCATTCTCGGCCTTAAAGCGAATTAAAACTTATGCCAGAAATTCTACTGGACAGACTCGGCTTTCATCATTAGCCTTCATGTCTATAGAAAATGACTTATTGGTGGAACTGAAACGCACAGATAAACTGTACAACAGAGTCATTGAAGTCTTCT